TCCTGTCCTGATGGAGCTGAGACACAGAGTCCCCACGAGCAGAGCTGCGTCCCTGAGCGTGAGACACAGAGTCCCCACGACAGAGCCCTGTCCCCTGAGCATGAGACACGGGGTCCCCACGGCAGGGCCCTGTCCTGATGGAGCTGAGACACGGGGTCCCCACGGCAGGGCCCTGTCCCCGAGCCTGAGACACGGGGTCCCCACGGCAGGGCCCTGTCCTGATGGAGCTGAGACACGGGGTCCCCACGGCAGGGCCCTGTCCTGATGGAGCTGGACACGGGGTCCCCACGGCAGGGCCCTGTCCCAGATGGAGCTGGACACGGGGTCCCCATGGCAGGGCCCTGTCCCCGAGCCTGAGACACAGGGTCCCCACGGCAGGGCCCTGTCCCCGAGCCTGAGACACGGGGTCCCCACGGCAGGGCGCTGTCCCCGAGCCTGATAGGGCGCAGTGTTGGCTCTGACAGCTTTCCCTCTCACAGCCTCTGTCTGCTCGCACAAGGACAACCTCACCCTTCATTAACGTTAGCGGTTGTGGAGAAGGGGTGGTTGAAGGAGCGAGTTTCGTGGGCTCTTTTCTTAGCTCAGTATAGACATAAAAAGCCAGGAAACAATTTGCAAAGAGGCAGAAGCTTTTATTTGACAGAAAAGAAGCTTATTTGATTGGCAGGCGACAGGAAAGCGTCTGGTCCAGGAGACCAGGCATTGTCGAAGCGGGAGGGCTTCAGACGGTCCCGGTCATTAAGGCGTTGCTGGTTGTCACTGGGCCATTTGTGGGGGTGCCCACTGGACGGGGGCTTCACATACTGCATGTTGATTGGCTTGGTGCTCATGGAGATAGCGGGGGTCTCCTGGCGACCGTCCGTCTCCTTAGGGGCTCAGCCCCCTCCTCTGCCAGCTGTGGGTGAAAGATCCCACCCACCCTGGAGGTGTGATAAAGCCATAAGGTCACTCACGCATCCCGAGGAGCTGTAGTGGGGGAGGCGCCGGTCCGTCTGCAGACAGGCCTTCCAGCCACAGCTGGCTGCCTGCTTGTGAGGACATTCTACCTGCGTCTCGGGGCCACAGACCCCCAGCCCCACCGGACAGCCTCAGTTACTCTTGGGACAGAAAGCTGTCCTCGGGACTGGAGGTGGGTCTTCCATTTCACGGCCATCTGCACCCTCACCCTGGGGCCGAGCTGGCGACGGTTGTGCGTCGTGGCACTGACACTCCTCTCTGGCACATGCCGTGGTGACTGCAAAGACGGTCTCGTCACAGAGGCAGGAGCCGCGTGGCCGCTCTCCACTGTCCCCAGTGAACGGCACAGGGTCTGCTGCGCGGTGGGTGCTGGGGAGCGGCTGCCGGGGAGGGAGTGGCGCGAGTGGCTTCGGGTCAGCCACGGGCCCCGTGCCCATGCTTTGCTTGGAGCTCAAAGTGCCTGGGGTTTGACCTTCTCCCTGCCCACGAGCTCAGCCTGACGGATGTCCCAGGTGGCTGAACCAGCTGGGTCCCAGGAATCCGTATGCCGATAAATCACCTACAGATAACGCCAGTCGTAAACCAAGGCGTGAGAACCCTCGGCTCAGAGGCCGATGAACACTGAAGCAGTAACTTGCAGTGAGGTCGCTGGGCGGGAGAGGAGGTTGTGCCACGATAGAAGCACGTGCAGGGCAGATCTCATTCGTCCACACTGCACCCGTCAGGGTCTCACCTGTGCCGGGCGCTGGTGTCAGGCGCTTCCAGCTGGAGACACAGACCGGCGGTGTTACCCGCTTGTGAATGGCAGTCGGTGTGAAAGAAGAGAGCAAAGCCAGCCTTACTGACCGATGATCGCAGCAGGCAGGCGGGCTGTCGGGGGAGGGGTTTGCCATGGGGCTGGGGGCGGGAAGAGCAGAGGGAACTCTGGGAGATTTTAGGGGAGAAGAGGGCCGGGAGGCCGCAGGGAGGGATGGTGCTGGTAGGTGCCATGGGGGACACGGGGGTGAGACCATGTGGTGACCTGTGACTTCCTGCGGCATGCACAGGAGGCCACGTGTGTGTGCACGTGTGTGTGCACAGAGGCTCCCGGCGCAGCGTGGAAGATCGGTCACCGCACAGAGCAAGTGCGAGGGAGGGGACAGAATCCGAGGAGGGGGTAGTTCAGTCCTTGTGGCAGTGCCTAGGCAGGCAGTGCATGGATAGGAAGTACATGAACTAGAAGGAAGTGTAGACAGGAAGTGTGTAGACAGGAAGTGTGCAGACAGGAAGTGCATAGACAGGAAGTGCATAGACAGGAAGTGCGTAAACTAGAAATGTCACCGGAGAAGAAGCTGAGGGCCCTTGTCTTCGCGCAGGGAAGAATTCAGGCATGAGACAGAGAGCAGTGGAAAGCAAAGTGGCAAAGTTTATTAGGGTGGGGACATCCGCAAGAACCGATGGGCACCTCTCCAGACAGAACCCGAGAGAGAGTGCCCAGTTCACATTTCGGCTGGGTTTTTAAGGGGATGGGTCTTGCCTTCCCGCCTTTTCTCTCCCCCTCTCCTCCAGATCAAGGACCTGTTGGGTGTCAGAGGAAGCCTGGCTGGCTTCTCTCTAGGGTGCCCGCCTTAGAGGAAGGATGTCTATCAGGGCAGGGAGAAGGGTCTGGGCGGGACCTGGGAGGTTATGGGGTGACATTGAAATGCGGATGCTGGACTGTGTGGATGTCAATTTCCTTAGGCCCTTCTCACACACGCAGGATAATTTCTGCCTTCCTACCTAATAGAAGGAAGTGTACACACAGGAAGTATTCAGACAGGAAGTGTGTAGATGCAAAGAAGTGTGCAGACAGGAAGTGCATGAATGGGACGTGCGTAGACAGGAAGTGCATAGATACAAAGTGCATAAACTAGAAGGAAGTGCAGAGACAGGAAGTGCAGAGACAGGAAGTGTGGAGACAGGAAGTCCGGAGACAGGAAGTGCAGAGACAGGAAGTGCAGGGACAGGAAGTGCAGAGACAGGAAGTGTGGAGACAGGAAGTGTGGAGACAGGAAGTGCAGAGACAGGAAGTGCAGAGACGGGAATGCATAGCTTGCAGGGGAAAACAATAGATTCTGGAATGGCATTGGAGATGGAGGCCGTGAGGAGGAGGCAGCGGGTGGGCAGGGAGGAAGCCCGAGCCTTGGTGCTGAAAGGAGGGGCCCCTGGTGAGTGTCCCAGTCCATCTGCTGCTGTCCAGGCACCGCAGAGGCTTGTGAGCACAGGGCTTTCTTTAGCGCTGGTTCCCTGGCTGTATCATAACATGCAGAGGGTGTCACGTGGCGAGAGGGAGTGAGCCGCCAGCCCGCTGTCTTTCCTCCTCTTACAGCGCCACTTCTGCCATCATGGGGCCCCACCTCCCGGTGTCACCACGTGGGTACGAGGTCAAGTTTCCAGCAGGTAGATCTGGGGACACATTCAGACTGGGACAGACAGGAGAGAGAGGAAGAGGGAGGCCATTGC